TATAAAAAGATATTTAAAAGTATTTGTTAGCATGAAAATTACCATTTCAAAAATGTCACTAAAAATGCCTAAAATAAATATCTTACATGTGAAGAAGATATGGACAGCAACTATGCCTATTTGGAAAAACAATTAATACAATTTATATAGTGTGCAAAAATGTTACTAATCTAACTACCCAGTAGAATAATTAAACAAGAGCCTAAACAGCTTACATCATATCTGGCCCACACCTGTTCTCAAAAGTTAGGTAAGACATCCTAGTGAGGTGAAACCTAGTATTATCAAAAAAGGTCTCACCAATTAAGTTCAACTTATTTTCTATTTAACAATTCTTTAAAAAAATTAAATTCTGAAAGCCTGGCAGGTTAGAAACATTCTTTCAATCAATACGTGCTTTCCATTTCTGATCCTCTGTCTCTGAAGCGATTATGAGACATCTCCAAGGAAAATGTGCTACATAAGCACTCTGATTGAAGGAATAATCTACATTCTATAATACAGTCTGGAGCCATAAATTCCATCTGCTCTACAGAGAAAATAATATTAAGCAACTCCGATTTTTTTTTTTGGTAAACATCAAGACACTCCTGTTCCTGCAGGATAGGTGCGATGTAAGGCTCTTACAATCAATTGCAATTATTAATTATACAGCACATAGGTGGCCATGTTGCTTTTCAGTCAAAAACAACAAGCCATATACCACAGAAGTAACAATCAAAGAGGCCCAATTCCGTTTACATTAATATATGTACCTAAATAGAAAACAATGGCCCAGTCTGATGGGGGTATACAAAACCCACACTGGGACGAAAGGGGTTAAAGGACAGTATTGGGCCCAGCTAACCTCATCCCTCCAATCTTGCAGAGGGTGCTCCAACTGGAGACAGGGTTGAAAAGCTCAGAAGGCTGGAGAGGAGTACATACCTACCCTGAAGGCACCTGCCAAAAGAGGCTAGTGATGGCTCCCTGATGTAATAGGACAGTATGCTGAGTCCGGCTGGGGCTGACTGTTTGGTTACCTTTTTTCTTAACTGGTCCCGGAAGCGGAGAGAAGTGGTAGGAAGTAACTCCGGGAGGGTAATGCTAATCCTTCCTAGGGCCCTGGGTCAGAGGCTGGTGGAGCAGATGGGCCCGGGCTCCCCTACCACTGCCCCACAAGTGAGTGGATGTTAACCAGTAGGCCTCCCAGCCCACCGAAGACCCTATTACACTGTCATTCAGGAAAGCATTTATGTATGTGCTTAACTTTAAGCATATGATTAAGAACTTTTCAGAATCAGAGCCAATGTGAGTAAAGTTACTCACTTGCTTCAGAGTTTGCAGCACTGGGCCCTTTAATTAGATATAATCCAATACGCAATGACTGAACAAAAGCTGTGAAAAAATGGTATTCTGAGGATGAAAGTCAGTAAAAATTTAAAAGTGGTTTATTGCTATATAAGCATCTTAGCTGGTTTTATTTTATATATTAAAATATGGAGAGATGTGTTATAAAATGTTAGGCAAACCTTCATTATTCATACATTTCTCTTTCATTTGTGGCCTCTAAGACCACAAGATTTAACTATTCAGGAGGTTTCTAAAAGATCAGTATAACAATTTCAGGTAACAATTACTTCTTCTTTCTTGTTTCATTTGATTTGATCCATTCTCCTATACAGAATCTATTTTTTAGTCGGTAAAATTCAAGTTCAACATACAGCTTTGAAAAAGCTGTGAGATGTAGAGACATAGGTCTAGGCTCAACTGACACAGCTCCATTCTTTTTAGATCTTTTGGAATTCTTAAGTCAAAACCTGTCACACACTATAAACCTAGTTGGATCATAACTAAGATTCAGATTCTCGATTTTGTTCTTTTTAAACAGGATATCTGAAATGCCTATTGGAGCCTGATCCTGCAATCAAGCAAGATGTCCTCTGAAGCCAATGATAGTTTTGATAAATGAAGCAGGACCTGGCCATTTGTCAGTTAGTGACATTTGGTACAGAGTATCATCTTTCTGCAAACTGTAATTTAAATGTTGATGGAGGAAAAACTTTAACATGAATTCTGTACATTTGAAAATGATTTTATATTTTTACTTTGAGCAGAATAGCATACAGGATTTATATTAAGTATTTTAATCCTTTTCTGAACTATGATACCTTTGTTAAACATAATTTCCCAAAATACTTATTACATGTAGGAAAAACATATACTTGTGTTTATAAGTTATTATAGGGACATTTTATTGAAACACTGCTAATTGTGCACATTTGAGGCTATTTTTGTGATCATTTTTTCAGAATCAGCAATTATACAGAAAAAATTAAAATACACAATTTATAAATTAATATTGAAAACAACTTTCATATCTAAGTAAATAGAATAAAATTTTAGTTCAATGTGACAAGATCAAAGCTGATGTCATTTTTCATTTAGAATTCTGGTTTAATAAGACAAGCACAGAAATTATCCTACAATTTATTGTACTGGCTATTATGTAGAAAATTGTTTATGGATTAAAATATCAACTCTTTTACATTTACAAATGAATTTAGTAGTGCAATATTCTCAAGCCACATCTGCTTTACAGAACACCACTAACTGTATTTGTCATTGGAAAATCCACCTCTACGTAACACTATTAAAGAGTATAATTTAAGGTTAAAAGCCATGGTGTATTAATTTAGCCCTATGTTTATCATCTGCAAAATACACAATTTATAAACTCTCATGCCATAATCTCTTCATCAAACATAGGATTCATCCAACTAAGTCTTGCATACAACACAGAATAGCAACACACACAAAAAATTCTGTATGGCAAAATGAAATGAACTATCATAATTCTTGAGCTCAACACAGTCTTCCCAATAACCCAACAGAACCCTTACATCAACATGGAGAATAATGGATGATGCAACACACTTGATATGTGCTGTGTCAGCACTGGTGACAGCAATGTGCTGAAATAATGGGTGCATAATCTTGTGATTTTTACACAGGTGGGATTTAATCATGCCAGAATAGGTTATTTAATTTTTAAAAATTATTTTTTTAAATTACATATTTCTATTTTTAAATGAAATGTACAGATTTTTGTTCAGTTTCTTAGATACTATCAAGAATGGCAGCATGTCACCAACGCCTTACTATAATGCAGGAAAATCTCATCCCTTCTTTTTCCTTTCATTCAATTTTTGCTGATCCTTATAAAGAATTTCAGGAGTTTAGTTTGGAAATGCTATTTCTTTGTAATCTCATGTTGTTAATTACCTACCTGTTTTTGAGTAGCCAAAACTTATGTTCCACATAATATCATAATTAATACACAAGTAGTTCAACAAATGTATCACTCAAACTGAGCATAATGAAAAAAGAACTACAATTAAGGTTGTTTTTTTGGAATATTTAATGTTGAAGAGAGAGGTGTTTATACATTTGTAACAGAAATAAATGACATGGAACTCTATTAGAATATTTTTCTATATGACTTTAATGAGTCATTTAGATACTTTTCAATACCTTGGGCTTTCCTTTTTCTCCAGATATTATGTTCTTGTTATGTGTTTTTTGTCTGTAGAACTTTCCAGAGCAGTGTATAAGGGAGCCATACTCTAAGAGGAGTTTAGGGGTCACTAGGAGTACAGTGGAGTGTCGTGTTTCTGCATGCAACTACAATAATGCCTTGGGATCTACTGGATTTCCCTGATCTCACATCTGTTCAGCAGATACAAATGATATATATATATATTTTCCCCTGGAGGTAATTTTTTTAAACACTTGTTTCGTACTTGAAAAAGTATGCTTAGCCCAAGTATACAATCATTCTATTTCAAAATACAGCCAGCACAAGAAATCTTAAATTCATCTCCTATGAAATGAGCCCTGTCCAAGCCACAACCTCCATTCCATTCTGTTCTCCATAACTCATTCATTGCAATAACCTAATCTTGTGTTAACAAGGGAATGATAAGAGCAATTTGCGGGGTATAAATATTTTTATAGCTAGATAACCAAGGCAAAAGCCATCTCTGAAAAGAAAGACTGTAGCTTCCTTGTCTGTGCCAGATCATGATAAGCACATGATCCTTGGGTATCCAAGAAACTCCCCAGGTTGCATGTCTGCATACCCCAACATTCAGGGATGCTGATACAATGTTTACCATCTCTTTCAGTTGCTTCTCAAATCCTGTAAGCATCATCTCAGTCTTGTATTAACTACTTGCTCTTCAGCTAGGTAAATCTCCTCACAGTCCACATCTATAATTTCTGTTAGCCAATTATAAAACTGCTCCACTGCACCAGCAGGGACAGAAAAGAGACATAAAATTCAGTATTAATATTCTGAAGACTTCTCAAGACATTCTTCCTCAGTAACCCCCTACAAGCCCCATGCATACATTTAACAGAAAGGGTAAAAAGATGGAATCTGTGGAACAACAGCCACAGATAAACAATTGCCCTTTAGGATCTCCCAGAAAGAAAGCCACTCAAGAACAGCCCAGTCAGCTTTAATGAGGGTCAGTAAACAAATAACAATATCTTGTGCTCAATGGTATCAAAGATACCTGATCGATCTGAAAATGGATACCTGAACTCCATGAATCACTAGGAAAGGATCAACCATAGCCACCACCAGCGCAGTTTCTACAGCATAGCCAGACCAAAACAGGTGTCAAACAGATCAAAGGTCTATTGTGCGTGTATTTGAATTTAAGATATTTTGAGACCTGGTCCTAGTTGGGAAATTTCTTCAATTTGCTGATCTTTCACTTAAAAGAAAATCACACGCTATTTTTGTAGAATGAAAAAATTAACTTTCAAAAATATCTGAAATTTGGTAGAAGATATAAATTTAAATCTGAAAGTCAACAACTTCTGTGGATCTTTTTGTTATCTTAAATTAAGAGATTGAAACAGAGCTCTAGTGTTAAAAAGTTGTATCATTTAAATAAGTATTATTGTTTACTTTGCTTCATGACAATATAAAATTTTCAACAGAACAGTACCTGGTGGGCTTGCTGCAACTCATCAGCAAATTGATTTACTTCAGATAACAGCAGAGATATTATAGACTTTCTTAATATGTTGCATCTTCCCAGCAAAACAAGAGTGTGGGACACGGGATACTGCACCTGAAACTGAATATAAGTATCTGTAAGTTCCATCTTTTCAACATCTGTCCAAACCCCTACTTTGTATGATCTCTTTACTTATATATACATACACACACACACACTTTTAAATTAAAAAATAAATATGTAAAAAGGAAGACATGAAAAAATGAAGATAAATTCAAAACTTACTTCTGACAGCTAAAAACTACATCACACACACACACACACACACACACACACACACACAGAGTGTTTAAATGTGAGGATCTTGGTGTCTTTTGGAAACGGGTGGGTGCTAGTGTGCCCAGGCTCCCTCACCCCCCAGCACCCAACCAATACATTCAAGTTTCTCACATTTAATATCTCACTTTGGCTGTCTCAACAGGTTTGTGTGCTGTCCGTTGGGAAACTGTAAGCTCCTTGGAGCGGTCATGTCTTCAGTTCCTTATATAGTGCAAAGCACACTATCACCAACAATAATCAATGGCAGAATGTTCAGAACAGATTATTGACAAATCAGTATAAAAATATTGTGTGGGGACAGGAAGAGGTTGTACAAATTAGTTCACTGTGGGCAGAAAATAGTAATTTGCATTTCTAATCACACTTTCCATCTCAGGCTCTCAAACCGCATTACAAACATTAACAAAATTAGCCTTTACTTCCCCATGAGTTAGTATTTAAGATTTTATAGAAGAGGAAACGAGGCACAGAGCTTAAGATCCTACCAGAAAGTGTGGCAGAGTAAAGAAGAAAACTCAGCCCTCCCAATTCACCTCTTGTTCCTAAAACACAAAGCCATGCAGGACATATCCTCACTAAACCCAGAATGGCTATGTGGCCTCTGTGCATATCAAAAGTATACATAAATCACATTAATCTTATTCCTTATGCCAAACAACATAATATAGGAACATGACTTCTTAGAAAACCTTCAGAAATGGATGGTCATGAAGGAAACAATGAACCTCTACTTAGTAGAATAAAAAAATTATGGAAGTAGAAGAGAATGTAACATACATTTATAATTGTGTTCACCTCAGCATATTTTGAAAAAACAGATTCACAGAAACCAGTGAAGGAACAATAGCACCTACCCAAGATTGAGATCCCATTGTGTTAGGCATTGTGCAAAACAGTACATGACAGTCCCTTTCTTAAAGAAAAAGCACTCGCAGTCTAAATAGACATGACAGACACATAGTAAGGGGAAAGAAATATACACATACAAACAGAGTAATGGTTCACAACCAGCATATGAGTGACATAATTGTTTGTTTGGTTTACATATCAATTTTGGGGGTAGTTATTTTTCATTTTATGACATTCAACCAATTATAGGACAAAGGCAGTTAAGGAAGGGAATTAACTAAAAGGAACAACACAGGAATGGAGAGAGGACAATGAGGGGAGGGAGGCAACAGTGGTAGGGGAGGAAAGGAAGGAAGGATGGAGTGAAGAGACAGAGAGGAGAGAGATAGCAGCTCCAGCCAGTCAGCCACAGCCCACCTATAGCTGCAATGAAGCAATCAGTCAAGTTGGAAGGAAATACCATACTGTTTTCTATCTTGGTCTGCCCTACACCATTTGAACAAGTTGTGCACGTACATTATCATTCATTCTACCTCTCCTGATAGCCATCTAAAAAGCTGGCACAGGGCTAAATCGACTAATTTGCCGTACTCAGGCGCATTACATATCAGTCAACACATACCTACTTGTATAAAACCATTAGTGACGTGAGCAGAGGTGAAGAAAATTCACACAAATCTATAACACTAACTGATTATACACATTAAAATATGGTTTTGCAAGATTATAGCTACATGTTCAGTCATTGCGTATTGGATTATATCTAATTAAAGGGCCCAGTGCTGCAACCACACATCCCAATTGGAACTAGTAGTATGCAATCAGACAGCAGCAGAGCACCCCTCGCCCCCAAAAAAGCAAATACAATACAGTACTGTGTTAAATGTAAACTAATAAAAAATAAAGGGAAAGTAGCATTTTCTTCTGCATAGTAAATTTTCAAAGCTGTATTAAGTCAGTGTTCAGGTGTAAACTTTTGAAAGAACCATAACATTTTGTTCAGAGTTACGAACATTTCAGAGGTATGAACTACCTCCATTCCTGAAGTGTTTGTAACTCTGAGGTTCTACTGTATGCAAAACTCATTCACAGATTTATTCAGTAAAGTCACTTCTACTGTCACCAATATCATCATCATCATCATGACATTACAAAATATACTGTAAGGTCCTCTAATATGACTACATTTTCACAGATAATGGAAACAGTATAAATATGAAATTTATGTGAGGAAAAGGTAAATAAACCTCCAAACAATTAAATTTACTTGGAACTTTATCATAATATTAAGAGAGAGATCATATAAAACTGGCAACAATATTATCTTAAAATTTTATAAAGCATGTGTGGAGTTGATTGCAAGCAGTCTTCAGAGTTACAGACTTGTCATAAAATAACATCTCATATCTTGACTCCTTCAAGATGTCCCATCACAGCTTATTACTTTACACACACTAAAGAGGAAAATCCATGCAGGAAGTAACCTTCCATTGTTTTCTCGTCTGTCCCAGTGTACGGCATACACATGGAAGGTTGTTTTTTTTTTTTAATTAAAACACACACCCCACACATCCCAAATTATAAACAGTACTATTACTGGTTGAACAGCATAAGAGTACCTCCTGCAGAGATAGGGTGCAAGTACGCCAGAAAGCTAGTATGTCTACTTCATTCAAGACAAAATGATTCAATTTCCATTAAGTCTACGTAATTGTAATTTGAGATCACAGGCACATTGATCTTATATGGCCTTAAACCAGGACACAATGATATGTGGCATTTGTACAAGACATCATTCACAATGCTATTGTTGCACTTTGCAGGAATAATTTAGACAACTACAGTTTTGAAAGATTTTCCGGTGTATCCACTAATAATATATAACTGGAGCAGCACTTGTTGTATGTCGATCATTCTGCCTTCTAGACAGCCTACATAATCCCTGCAGATCTAGATAAGGTTAAGTACATTGCAAATTGTTACACAGAGGTTTAGGCAATGCCACAAACAAACATGTTTCACATTTTTAGCGTGCAAGTCATCTTTACTGACTTCATTTCTCATTTTTATGCATTAAGGCTGGATACATATTTTACAAATTCTACATCTTTTAGAGTATAACCTTGAGCATGTTAGCAAACTAACTTGCCTTTGGCAGTCAGGTATACCAAACCACCATGATTTCCAATGTCATTTATTTCAGGCTATAAAAAGTCAATTTCTGTATTATTTACACAACATGTTCTATCAGCCTAGCAAATATTTCTTGGGATGGAAAAAATATAAAAGAAATTTTATTAAAAAAATCTTATTACCTACAACTAGAGCCACCTCAAATACTACCCAGCATTTCATTTCTAGCCTTAATACAGGATTCCTAGTCACTTTGCTTTCAATAATTAGTCATTGCCAGGGCTGTATTCAGGTGTCTCACTAAAGTGGCCACCTTCAAAGTGAAGCTTCAACTGAAATTTGACCATAATCCTCCAATTTATTAAGTTGGCTTTGAGCTAGTGTTCCAGTAAAAACAGACTCAAAACCAGAGTGACTGGTCAGATGATTCCCCAAAATGTAGGGAAGAGCCACTATAGCAGCTCCTGTGCTATCCATCTCCCAATACCTGGTGCAGCTCTCATGGCTGGGGAACAGAGAGAACAGCTGGTGAGCCCCTGTGATCTCTGGGACCATTGACAGCTTGCAGAGGTTAGAGCAGCACACTAATGCATGCCTTGTACTTACAATGAAAAGTTGTATATGAAGTTGTATGATAATTTCCTTATATACTATTGGATATGGGTTAGTCAAAGCAGAGGTAATGTAAACATTATACAGAATTCAGGTCTAACTTCATACAAATCAGGGTGGATAAAAATCAATGATTTTTTTTAATCAAAAAAATCCTCCAAACATTAATGATTAACATGTTGAATTGGAGATAGTTCACATCCCAATGACTTCATAATCTGCATCAATTACCTTTGGTAAATGAAATAACCAAACAACCATTCATTTTCTGATACAGCTGTAAAACTAATCTGAAAATTTTCAAAATAAATCACTTAAAAATATATAGTGTATATCTTCTAAAAATGAAACCTACATCTATCTCTGAGTTGTGAAGAATTAAATCAAGTCTTCCTGACTAGTGATTTAAATCAATTTGATTTAAATCAAACCCACCCTGATACAAATATGTAGTTAGTCTATGAAGTCCCACTTTATGAATACTATTTTGTTAATAGATATAACAAACAATAGCGTTTTACATTGTGGCAGATCGCACAAGTAGCAGTTGTATTCAGTAAGTAGTGGCAAATGATCGATGAGAAAAATCTGCAATTACTGATTGATTAAAAGATTAAAACATCACAGATGCAGATATAGGAAGAAAAATAAGCAAACTGACTGTCATGGAATAAAATAAAGCTTTGAAGAGATCTAGCTTTTCCCTCAATAAGCTGATGACTGCAGAGAGTCACTGAATCACTCTCTTTAAATTAAACAGCAAAGACCATCACCTACTTGCTCATTTTTTCCTGGCACTGGTCATTAATAATTCTACACAAAACCTCTGGTCTGATTATGTTAAATAAATTTTAATTCACTCCACTCTGTTATATAAAATCCTTGGAAAGTTAAAAAGGGACCATACTTGGAATAAAGCAGATTTTGCTACCGTTTGTCCCAGATAATTCTACAATATATTGGGGTCTACTATGTGAGCAGCACAAACAAAGTTTACAACACTAATTAAAAGTTTCAGAGGGGTAGCCGTGTTAGTCTGAATCTGTAAAAAGCAACAGAGGGTCCTGTGGCACCTTTAAGACTAACAGAAGTATTGGGAGCATAAGCTTTCGTGGGTAAGAACCTCACTTCTTCAGATGCAAGTAATGGAAATCTCCAGAGGCAGGTATAAATCAGTATGGAGATAA